TATATCATTACTTAATGACGGTGTATTTGTTAGAATTTTAAATTAACAAAATAATACATAATAATAACTCCAAAATTGATTGAATGTGTAATATTTTGTGTATCAGGTTAAATTTCCGAATCTTTTTTCACGACATTTAATAGCATATGTACGCAAAACTTTATGACTAATTAGATAATATATTAGATACAGTAAAAACATGAAATCTACACTTATGCTTTGTGATATTGCATCGAATAGTACAGTACTATATTTTTTATTTGTTTAACTATATGATACGTTGGCTTTTCTTTTATGTTATCATTTTAAGTAAAAAAAAAATGGAATAGTTTTTTTTATTAGAGAATAACATATAAATTTGTTATTGTACAGGTTTTGCCTCGATTAACGATTATTGTGCTTTGCACAAGATATGACCTTTGCAGATTACAATGCCAATGAGAATTGGAGGTTTTAAAAATTTTACCGATTTCAAATTAATATTGGTATAATTGATTGAAAATATGGTTATAGTGCTTTGCGAAAAGATATAGCTACATAATTTTTGTGATAAATATCAGGTGATCTTAGAATGACTATTACTTTATTTTTTAATCGGTAACGTATAAATAAAATTCTTAAAATCTATAGAATCCTCGATTCTCACATCTACAGAAACCATGTTTGTTTATGAAGAGCAACAGAATCGCAGAAAATTTCTCGATCTTTATAACAAGAATCATATTTCTGCAAAACGCCATAATAATAATACTATTTTAAAATTTTCACATCAATCATTTAAGTGAACTTATTTTTTTAAAAAATTTCATTTAAATATATGGATATTTTTTTATTTTTTTTTTATTTTGATGTCTAGAAGTGATAGATTCCGAAAAATTTTAGCATTTACAATAAGACAATCATTTGAATAAAGATGTAAACTTAAAATATTAGTATTTTTTTATAGTAATTCTATAATAATCAAAAATCCATAATACTACAAACCCTCAAAATCACAGAAATTGGTTATGTATTTAAATATTAATTACAAAGTCGGCAAAATATTTGGTTTTTATAACTTTTAAGTTAATCATTGATCAATCTATCAAGACCTTTGTCCAAGCTGATCGTGTCGACAAAATTTATTATACTGATTCTAATTACTGTTAAAGTTGTGGTTTTAATATATGTAAATAATGCATGCATAATTTATGCGAGATATTTTTACTATTGCTTTAACAGCTGGTATGTTTAATTTTATAATATGTGCGTATGAATGTTGTAATTTATCTTTTAATGATTTTTTTTCAGATCAATAAATATGGATAACTTCTTTTTTCCAAATTAGCTGAAGCTTGTTTTTTGTCTCTACTGTAATTGATTTCATCATAGATAATAACAAAATAATAATAATCTAGGAAATGTCAAAATTATTAATTGTTGTTTTCTTTTTCACTAATAAGATTGCTAGACTCACAAATGGTACACGATCTAGTATTGCCTCTGTGAGATCTTTATGATGGTAAAAGAAAATCACACGTTTCACGGCATATATTGGATACAAAAATTCGGTTTATCATATATTATACATACAGTATGTGCGAACTTAGACTCAAATTTTTAATTTTTACAAAATGATAAGGTTACCAAACGAATGCCTTTCAGAAATATTTAATAAACTTCAGGATGATTATACAAGTTTATTTTCATGTCTTCTCGTAAATCGTCAATGGTGTAGAATTATTGTGCCAATATTATGGAGGGAGCCAACTTCCCATTTTTCTGATATAAAACTTATGAGAACGTATCTTTTAACGTTGAACGCAAAAGAACAAGCTCTATTGATCCCTTTAAAATTATTCTTCCAAATTATCCAAAACCGTTATTTGAATACACAAGTTTTACTGTGTCAGTTGGCTCTTATTTGGCCTGTTGTATCGAAAACTGGCTTGTTGAAGAATGTAACATGAATAGATATAATGGTTTAACTTTTATTATAAAAGCCATGAAATGGTCTTTGGTTGCAATGTTTCTACGAACAAGCAAAAAACTTAAATATTTACATTATCATTTTAATTATTTTAATTCTGAGGAAATAAAGCTATTAATGAAGGCTGTTAATAAAAGCACTAGTTTGACTTCTTTAGATCTTACAGATAATAAACTTGATCCTGAGGGAGGGGAAGCACTGGTAGAAGCTCTTTATAACAACACTACTCTAACTTCTTTAAATATTCATAACATTAATATTGGGTTTAAAGGCGTAAAAGCATTAACTAAAGCTCTTTGTAAGAACAACACTTTAACTAATTTAGAAATTAGATACAATAGTATTGGTCTTGAGGGAGCAAAGGCGTTAGCAGAAGTACTTTGCAAAAACACTACTTTGACTTCTTTAAATATTCGTGGGAATCAACTTGGTTCTATGGGTACAAAAGTATTAGTAGGACCCCTTTATAAAAATCTCTAACTTCTTTAAATATTGGAAATAATAAGATTGAGTTTGAAGGAGTAAAAGTACTAGCAGAGGTTCTTTGCAAAAATTATACTTTAACTTACTTAGATATTTCATCTAATAATCTTGGTCCTGACAATGGAAAAGTGATGGCAGAGGCTCTTCGCGCAAATATTGCTCTAACTTATTTGAACATTTGTAATAATCAACTTGGCCCTGAAGGAGTGAAAGCGATAGCAGAGGCTCTTCATAAAAACAACATTTTAAAAACGTTATTTATCAATTCTAATAATGCGGGTTTTGAAGGAGGAAAAGCTTTAGCAGAGGCTCTTTACATAAACACCACTTTAACTTGCTTAAATATTAGCTTTAATAAGATTGACTCTAGAGGAGAAGCATTTGCAAAGGCTCTCTCCATAAATAAAACTCTAACTTCTTTAAATATTGGCCTTAATGCGATTGGTTTTAAAGGAGGAGAAGCGTTTGCAGCAGCGCTTTGTGTAAATACTACACTGAAATCCTTAGATATTTATTACAATCAACTTTGTGTTAAAGGGGCAAGAGCATTAGCAAATGCTCTTTGTAAAAATGTTACTTTAATTTTTTTAAATATTAGTGGTAATGAAATCGAATCTAACGGAGGAAAGGCATTAGCAGAAGCTCTTTGCATAAACACTACTCTAACTTCTTTAGATCTTTCTTTTAATTATCTTAATTTTAAATTCGAAAAAGCCTTAGTGGAGGCTCTCTATAAAAATAATACGTTAGACTACTTAAATCTTCTTGGAAATCCAATTGATTTCAAAAACTGCAAAAATATAAAAAGCGTAAGTGTATTAAAAAAAATTTTCCTACAAGCATTACATTAACATACTTATTCTGAGATTATTGTTCGTAAGATACTAAAGAGGATAGTATATACTCCCATTTTCTGTTTTAAAATAACTTAGTTTAGTGTTAAATGTGTAATGTCTGTTGACATCGTAATTCATGAATAAATTAAGCAGGTGATTATAAAAAAATCAATTATTATTTATGAGCTCTATAAATTTTCCAACTTATTGAGTTGTTAAATATTTTATATTTTGTGTCAAAAAAATAAATATGCAGAACATAAATAAAAAGATTAATATGATAGCAACCATTAATATTGACCATAACATAAAAATTGTTGTCGCAATTGATGCAGAAATTTGGAGCCTCATTTCGAAAATATAAGTCCTGCTAAAATCCACATGTATATTTTAATTGTTTAAAATTTTATATTATAACTGTTTCTGAAATTTTGGAACAAATGAAAAATTGCAAGGCCGAATCGATTAGTGATTTAACTTTGAGACTAGTTTATTTTGTAATCAGAAGAATTTTAGTTTCCTAGATTTTAGCAATTTTATAAAATTAGAAACAGTAAAATTGGTGGGTATTCGGATCAATCAAGCCATTAGTGTATTCACGATTTCAACAGCTTATGGGTTGGTAATTTTAATATTAGTGAATTGATGATTTTAATGGTAGGCATTTCATTATTCTATTGCACTGTCTATTTGTATATCTATTCATAAGTTTTTAATAATGAACTAAAAATTTACGAAAAATGTTGGTAAAAAAGTATGCAAGAGCCAATAAAATTTGTTTGCACGTGGATCGTTCCTATTTGGGGACGTCTAAAGCGGAGCAGATTCTTATTATATATATTTTATTGAATTAACTTTAGGATTAGGGTCATCTTATATTAGGGTTAGGTTAGGTTTTAGATAATTATATATAAGTAAAATTGCCTTCCTAACATTTTTAATTAACCCGTCTAAGGCAGGTTTACAATATTTTGTTTCGCCGGCGATCGTCAAAATTCCATAATTCAATTGGCAAGATATCACGTGATTCTACTCAACCCAAATATGGGGGACGTCTAAAGCGGAGGCAACTCATATTTAATAATTTTTTCGATTAACTTTAGGGTTAGGGTCTTCTATATTGGGGTTAGGCTAGGTTTTAGTAGATAAATATAAGCAAAATTGCCTTCCCGACATTTTTGATTAACCTACCTGAGGTAGGTTTAGACTGCCGTTTTTTGTATTTTTCGGGTTTTTTGTTTTTTTTTGCTTCGCTGGCGACCATCAAAATTCTGTAATTTTATTGGCTGTTGATCACATGATGTGCCTCCGCTTTAGGCGACCTCCCAATAAAGACAATAAAAATTTTTACGTATTAGTCGCAGGCGATAATTTTCTTTTTAGCCATGTGTAGTATCGAAGACGCGCCAAACGAAGTCGATGGTTAGTTCATTTCAACTTAATTCTCATATTCTTCATATTCTTCATATTCTTCATATTCCAAAAAGTTTAACGAGATATTTCATTTACAATAGTCAAGATTAAATCCATTACTAAAAAATGTATCAAATGCAAGTCAACGCCAACAATTTTAATTCGGCATTCTACATATTGCAAGTAAGAACTATTCGAATCCACATTCATTACTCCTTAACACACAACGATGAATCATTCGCACAATTGACAAAAGGCAATGTTTCCAACATGCTTTTGTTGGCAAATTTCGTAAAAATATGGATAAATTGCGCTCCGCAAATTCCAAAGGTGAAAAGGTTTTGGTGGGATTTTCTGGTGGTCCTTCATCAAGGTAAATCAATTTAAACAACAAACTTGTTTCCACAAAGTTGTCTGTATAACCAATATATTGATCACATAAAATGTTCTATCATTACTCACGAGTAGAGCCATGCTTCAACTGCTAAGCAATTATAATGAAGTTTTACCAAATGAAATATCTAAGAAACCATTATTCACTGAAGTTTTGGTTTGTCACATTGATGAAAGTCCAATTTTCGGTTTAGACGACAGTGATGACCATGTGAGTCTTTTATTTTTTTATAAGATGCAATGTTTAAAGTGGGTTAATTATTTTTATTTTTATTTAAAGGATGTGATTTTAAGTCAAGTTGAGCAAGTTGCACAAAATTATAATTATTCGTTTATTGGATTACAATTTTAGTGTTCTAACAGTAAAATCGTTCAAGGAAATTTTTTGTTAATGCACGAAAGGTGGTTTCCTATGCAGATTTTTGTGTTATAAGCGATTTTTGACAAAACGAACGTTT